GCCTCCCCGCCCCCTCCTCCGCCCATCAAAACCTTGTCGAACAAAGTGCCGCACTCCAGCCATCAAAGGTGCCTTGAAGAATTCAGAGAAAAAAAAAAATCCGAAAGCACTCATGAAGACGCCATCTAGTTCACCAAAACAAGGGCAAAATTCTGATGAAATCAACGCTTAATAGTTGCCAGATATGAAAACAAGGGACCGTTTTTCGCAAATATGGTACCATGGGCGCAAGCTCCTCTAGATTAAAATATCCATTTTGAACAGACAAATTTACCAACGGACAATTGGAAATATCCGTTCTGCTGAAAGAAATCTTTCCAAAAAAACTCAAACAGGATCCGGAAATCATCAGACCTTGTGAAAACCCCCGTACAATTAGCTACTCAATCTACCGCCAAAGATGATCGTCATAAATCGTAGGCGGTATGGCCACATTAAAAACGGTATTTACAAGAAACAACAAGTGATTCATGTGATATTTATTAAGCAAAACACTGGCTAAGTTTAATAACTGGAAGAAAAAAATTTCCTAAAAATAAACTTTTCTAAGAAATAGGCACTTTCAGATGGTTACTGATAGTACCATTCACAGCATATGCAAAAAACTTCCAGATAAGCAACTTAAAAATTCATTAATTCTAAAAAAACATACACTCACGCACACACGCACACACACATACACACACACACATGAACACACACATACATACACCCACGCACACACACACACACACAGACATACACACATATACACATGGTGAAAGAGTAAAAAAACAACAGAAGTATGTGTTGAAAGAAAACTTGGTCTAGACATGCTGCAAAACGATAAAGCACAGATGGACGAGCGAAACGCCATCCAGATCTGTTGAAAGAGCAGTGGGAAGGCCAAAGCAAAGCCTGGCTAATCCAATATCTCGCAAATGTGGAGCAAAATGGAGGTGGAAAGCGCAAAATCGTAATCGATGGAAAAATTGCCAGTTGTACGGATAGTGATTCAGATCATGCATTAACAAATTTTCTAGATATCCCAGTTATTGACAAAAATATACTATTATTGCAGTCAAAAAAACAGGAGGAGAAAAAATTTTTTAGAAAAATCCGAAATCCTTTAACACAATTAAAGAACTCAAATTTACCGCAAAAATTTCACGATTTAAAAAGGAAAATTTAGAATTTTGGACGCGAAAAGCACAAAAATGTAAATTTCACGATTTAAAAAAAAAATTTAGGATCTTGAATCCGAAAAGCATAAAATCGTAATCGATGGAAAAGTTGCTGGGCCGTATGAACTAGGAATTAATAGATGTTTCAGGTATTCTAATAATTCACAAAAATATACTATTACTGCAGTTAAAAGGAAAAGAGGCAGAAAAAATTTTCGAAAAAAATCCAAAATTCTTTAACATCAAAAAACTCAAATTTGCCGCAAAAATTACACGATTTAAAAAAGGAAAATTTAGAATTTTGAATGCGAAAAGCACAAAATCGTAATCGATGGAAAAACTGCTGGGCTGTATGGATCTTACTCTAAACTACGAATTAACAGATGTTCCAGGTACTCCAGTTACTGACAAAAATAATATATTATTACTGTAGCCAAAAAAAGAAAAAAAAACAAGACGCAAAAATAATTTTCGGAAAAATTCCGAAATTTTTTCATAAAAATTCCGAAAATTCCAACATTAAAAAAAACTCAAACTTGTTGCAAAAATTTCATGGTTTAAAAAAATTTAGAATTTTTGCAAAAATGGACTAATTTAAATAAATCTAAATTATAGCCGTTCGTCAAGAAAGCGCTGTAGCGATACTGCGATAAAAAGTACAGGAGTTAGCGTGATGCTTGAATAACACTCTGGCACTGGAGATCTTAAAATGTTCAAACAGCACTATTTCGAATATTGCACGACTATTTTAAACATATATGGCCTTGAAAGCAATGATTAGGTAGGAAACAACTGAGAGCACCGCTGCTGGTTAGCCGCTCACAAATTTAACACCTTTACTGATATTTTTCTTCAACTCCGGAATTGCGGCTTCAACAAGTTTCCGCTCGAAATCGTTCAGTCGCCCGGTGCCAAGAATTTTCGTCACGCCATCTTTCTGTAAATACACGCAATTATACTAAGAATAATCCAGCAAACTTTATTTTTACATTAAACCACCTTCACAAGAAGAAAGTTAGGCCATCAGATTCGGAAGAACTGAACGCTATACATGTCTTTTTATGCGTTTTTTTTGCATCTATGCAATGCAAAAATGCTTACTGTCAAGGGATTGTGTGTATGTGTGTGTGCGTGTGTGTGTGCGCGTGTCTATGTGTTTGTCTGTACCAATTTTTCATCTTGACACCTACAAAAGCTGCACGACTAAAACTTTGGAAACGTAATGTACATGCATATACGGGCCCCCATCCCCAAAATGGGCACTTTTACCCGCGCGGTACTCACGTGCGGGCCCGCCAAAGTTTTTGGTGAGCAAACTGCTAACTCGGGAACCAGAAAAGCTAGAAAGCTGGAATTTTAAAGGGATGTTCTCGGTCCATGCAGACTTGCTAACTTCAAGCACAGCTCCCAGTTACGCGTGATTCTCACCTACAAGCCTGTGAAAGTTTTTTTGTGAATAAGCTGCTAACCCGGGAATCTGAAAAGCTAGAAGCCTAGGATTTTAAGGGAATTTTTCTTGACAGCCCTAGTGGCCAGTCTCAATTCTTTTAGCCGGAAGCATCTGATGATAAAAACAGTGCCGTTAGCAACAAAAACCTGCTGGGAACTGTGCAAAAAACGCATCTTCACACCGGTGGTCGGTGTGCTGGCCAATTATTTCTGAACTGGGCATCACTTTATCTCGACAAAACGAGGGGAAAGAAGAGGGATGAACGTATAAATCACTGGCAAAGTGACCATGTTGTGATGCAGTTCTCAGTTATACTAACTATAAAAACGCTGCTGGTTGTTTTATCAGCATTATACAAAACTATGAAATTTCACCCTTCTCGAAAGAAATGCTGAATGTACAGAAAGCTCAAAAAACTGGCCAACGCACGGGCTGCCCGTGCGAAGATGCGTTTTTTGCAGAGTTCCCTGCAGTTT